CGTTTATCCTAAGTAGCTCTTAGTTACGTAACTATTATACATCTTATTTAATTAATTTAAATTTTATTTGTTTTATTGCCCTTTGAACTGTGTCTAACTGCTACTCCCCACCATTATAAGTTGACAAATCACTCGGGGAATGTGCAGCTCACGTTACACTATTGAATTACATTACCCACGAGCTGCTTACGTCCATGCCTCTTAAACCATTTTAATTATATTATTATTATTACTTATTTTACCTAATTTAGTCTTAAATAACTTAAAATGATCCATACTTTTAATTTTAGTCACTTTTATAATAGTAAATAAAGAATATATATGAAAAACAAGAAATAAAGTACTTACCCAATCTTCTTTTTTCTTGCCCTCAATTGTCTAGGAGAGTTAAGCCTGATTTTTTTAGGGATTATAGTAAAGCACTTAACAATTTTTATTTAATTAAATAATACACCAAAGAATATAGACTAATAACATGCAAAATGTAGACAAATTCTCTTACTTCTAAAAATTTTCCTGGCTTTCTAACTATGTGACAAAAGCCATTACAAATGCATCCAAGCTAGTTGTTAACTTTCCCACGGGAACGATGTTGCTACTCCGAGTGAAATTCACGGTTATCTGTTCAGAACACAACATTATACAATACACCATTTGATAGATGAAAACCTTAACTTTCTATTGGTTATAGGTAGTATATAATGAAACGTAAAAAAGAACTATCAATGAATTGTGAAAGAGAGGATGTGACAGGTGGGTGTGGCAGGAGGGGTCTGATTTTCTATTTGATAGCTCTGTAACCAAACAAAATTGAAGGCAATAAAAATTATTGTCTGTTTGAGCAATAATGATTTTATAGAGAGTATTTTACGTTTAATTTTGTACATTTTCGAGGGGTCATGGATAAAATAGGGATGATGACATGCTAAGACAAAATGTGTCACGTGTGTCGCACTAGTGGAAATTCAGGATTTTTTTATACATTTCCTTGTAGAATTAAGAACTTAAAACTTGTATACTATTAAAATATGGATTATTAGCTAAGATTTTATGCTATTCTAATGGGTATAACATAAACAAAAAGTAGTTTAATAAAATTTTGAATGTAAAACACTAAAACTTTGTGTCATGCGCAGTAAAGTGTACCCGGGCTGATAGGGTTAATCCAGTTTGACTAAACTCCATTTATAACAACCCTATGCTTTCTTCTATCCAGTTAGTTAACTTATCCCCCACACCTGTAGACAGTGTTTCCTATGGGCTGCACAACAACCAATCAAATGCTGAGCACTTAATTATTCCAGCCATGCACATCCTCAGTAATTGTGAGGAGTCTCAACTCATTGATGGGCTAAATGACCCTGGTAATCGATAGGCCTAATGATTCAATAGGGTTGATGGTCTAAAAATCCCCCCTCCCAAAAAAAAAACAGAAAAAAAAAAGAAAAACATGAAAAACTTCATTTCTGCACATGGATTGATTAGAAGGAACATTGCCTGTGGAGATGATTTTTTATAAACCTTTTATGTGGCACCTTGTCAAATGCTTTCTGAAAGTCCAGATACACCAAATCTACATTC